GTTCTTTGCTGTTGGTCGGTGGGGCCATCTGCTTCAGGGCGGACACTTTGTCAGGGTCTGGTTGAATTCCTTCTGGACCGCAGATAAGCCCATAAAACTTTATTTTCTCTTGCTTTATGTGGCATTTGTCAGGGTTTAGTCTCAGACCTGTGTCTTGGCACCGGCTCATCATGCTTCGTAGATTTTGGTCGTGTTCTTCTTCTGTTGTGCCAGAGATAACAATATCATCTGCGATACCCACAACGCCTCTACATCCTTCGAATGTTTGGTCGATCTTTGCTTGGAAGATGTCTTGTGACATGTTCAGCCCAAAGGGCATACGCTTGAAACGGTACCTGCCAAATGGGGAGTTAAAGGTAGCTAAATAGCTTGATTCTTCATCAAGTACCACATTCCAATAGCCACACTTTGCATCGACTATTGAGAAGAACTTTGCTTTGTGTAATTTTGGTAAAATTTCTTCCAAGGTAGGAATGGCGTGATGTTCTCTTAAGATAGCTGTGTTTAGGTCTTTGGGGTCTAGGCATAAACGCAATCGTCCATTCTGTTTCCTCTTGTAGACAAGACTGTTTACCCATCTTGTGGGCTCTCCTTCGTTTATTTTAGTTATGATACCATTTGCAACCATCTCGTCTAGTTCTTTCTTAATGTCATCTTTCAGACTGATTGGAACTCGTCGCGGAGGGTGGATAACAGGTGGGACTGATGGGTCGGTGGTTATGTGGTATTCTCCTTCGAATTTTCCTATGCCATTAAAACAGTTTGGGTATTGATCTATCAAATCTTCTTTGCTTTTTATTGGTTTGGGTACTGGTGGTCGTTCGGGGGTTCTGGTGGTTAGTGGTGGTTGCTCAGGGGTTCTTGTGGTGGACCATAGTGTGTTGCTGTGTAACACTTGTTTGAGTATGGCACAATTGAATTTCACAAGGTTGAGGTCAATCAACGTTGGTAGGCCAATGATAGCAGGGCCTTGTGTGTCTGTGACATAGAACTGTGCAGCAGATCTTTTGCCTTTGAATTCGCAATCAATGGTGACGGTGCCATGGTGGTGTAACTTGGATCCCCCATATGCTGTGAGGATAGTATTAGAATGTTTTGTAGCTCCTTTCTTGGGGTTGCCCTTCAGATCAATTTTGCAGGGGTACATCGCCCGGTATAATCTTAGGGGGAGTATATTCCCTTGGGCACCAGTATCGACTTTGGCTTTCAGTGATGCCTTTGCGTGTGTTTGTAGGGAAGCCTTGACTGTTGCTTTGGGCTTTGGATCTAGGTGGATGCCCACCTCTGCAAACACTTCGTCTGCCTTCAAATTTTGGTGGTTAACATTAGCTACAGTAATTGATTCAAAAGTTAGAGTTTCAAATTGGGTCATTGAGGGGTCACATTCTACCTTCTCGATAGGGTGTATTTGGCTCCGCCTCCCTTTTGATCGACATACTTGTGCAAAATGGTTGGGCTTGTTGCATAGGTAACAGGTTTGCCCTTTTGCTGGACATTTCTCTGATCTGTAGTGTTTTCTCCCACAGTTCCCACACTGGCTTATTTGCTGGGGGTACTTTTGTTCAAGTGATTGCTGGGGGTACTTTTGGTCAAGTGATTGTCTCGATCTTTGAGATTGACTGCCTTGGTTTTGCTGTCTGACTAAGTGAATGCTTTCTTCCTTGTTTTCAGGAGACATGCTTTTGAGTTGGGCTTGGGTTTTTTCATAGGTTCTTGCGATTTGTATAGCTTTTTCTAGCGTGAGTTCTGCCCCTTCCATTATAAGTTTTTCCCTCACTTTGTTTGAATTTGTCCCAAACACAATTCGGTCTCTAACCATTTCATTTTGGTCGTGGAACTCACAATCTTGGGCTAGGAGTTGTAACTCTGTTGTGAATTCCTCTACTGGCTCGGTGGGGCCTTGTATTTTGTTATGAAACTTATATCTGGCAAAGACGGGGTTTGCTTTCGGATTGACATGCTTTTCGAATCGATCATAATATGTTTTTAATTTACCTCTGTTTGTTTCTGAGATATCCGACCATGTGTTGTATATATCCCTGCCTTTTTGCCCTACCCAGATGAGTAGGTAGCTGCATTTCTCCGCTTCGTTTTTTGATCTCAGCGGTCCAGAGAACATTAATTCGACATGTTGTTTAAAACGTCGCCAATTTTCCTTGAGATTTTCGCCGTCCCATTGCATCACAGGAAGTTCAATACCGCTAAGAGCCATGACTGTAGCTTATACGGTCGATATTCAGTAAAAATCGCACTCCTGATACCATGTAATAGTCTTCGAGCTTTGTATTTTTACAAGATAAGTACAACAACAACACGAGGCCCCATGGGGGGTCTCAAACCGGAAGTATATCATTACAGGTAGGAGAGATCCGATACGGGAGTCGGGGACGACTTTAATTCAATGTAGCACTCATGTGTAGATAATGTAGCTGTACTAGAATTGTGAAAGAGAAAAGAAAAACAGATCCTCATTAAGTGAGTTGTGCTGTCAATCAGCATTCGATATACAAACAAAATCAAACGCAAGCCTCTCAACATTTAGCAAAAGACATTTCAGGAGAAAATTCACGAAGCACATTGAAGCCTTTTGTTTAATTCTAGCTCGAAAGGTAATTATTTTAGTACGCACTCTCGTTTGTGGTACGTTCATATATTTATCAGGCAGATCTTGTATCAACTTCAAGGGGCGGCGCCATCCTTTCTTGAATTTTAAGGTGCTTTCTTCCTATCCAATTAATCTTTTGCGGTTTTGCCGATTGGGAAAACATTTTACCGACTGGAATATAATAATTTCCCGACTACCTAAACACTTGGGGGGAGGGAGGAGGGGCTGTTCCACCTCCAACACCCGCCCCTCTAGCTCAGCCCCTGTCCACTTCAAGATTTTTGTCTTGTATAAGACGATCTTTATTCACTTTCAAGAATATTTTACTTGTATAAATTATTTTATAAATATTTTTGTCCACGTCTTATTGTGCCTGTACAAGACAAGCTCCCCCTCTCCTTACTCCCTTTCCAGCCCCAGCCTCTCTCCCAAAGTAACTTAAGACCCATCTACACAATACGACTAGTAGCATACGATTCATATCTTAGTACTCGAATAAATGAGAGTAAAGATGTCATATTTTTAATTTTCGCCATAAACTTAGGAATAGTGGCATCATCAGTCGTTTTTATACAGCAGAATGACAATTGTAGCTATACAGCTAGTCGTATCGTGTCATGAATAGGCAAATTTGGCAAACGTTTGTTCATATACCCACTTACAACCTTACAACCTTACATCACTCATATGCGTTTTTAACTGTATCGAAAACTTTTTACTGCACAGAATACTGGAATTCGAATAATCAATAAGCAGAACAAAATATCGGAGAAATTTTATATTTTTATTTAGGTTGCACTATATTATGCTTTTAAGAATCAAAATTAACGTTTTTTGGACTTCCAAACCTTGGATATTCAGCTTGATACCTGACTAAAATACAGACGGTTTTCAGTAGGCTGTATCATACAGCTCTTTACGTACCATATTAAACTGTGTCTCCTCGCTGTATGATCTTTGATTTTTATCACCAACATTGTAACCACCCTTGGCGTTGTTCTAGAAATACTTGAAAACGTAAGTTCAGGTAGTCGTACGCGCGTTTACAAAGAACAACGCGGAAGCCCGGGAGGCCATGTAAAATGTGCACGGTTAGCGCGACCCTACCTTACATGTGAGTTAAGCCTGCTATTGTAGGTCGAAGGGATATGGATTTACGTAAATTGGGTAACTTTACTGTACTTCAAAAACTCGTTAGCGTTTCTCGGGTTTAACATGCTGCAATATTCAAATGCATGTCTATTATTATATGAACAAAGGGAGTGCGAATATAATTTGGGTTGAAACTCACCTGAGAGTTGAACATTCGATTGTTATTTGCTCTATTAACGCCTGCTCCGTTCAGGCGGTTGTTTGAACCTCTGGGATTGTGTAGATACACATCGGCATCACTCAAATTGACCAATAGTCCTACTAGTGCAAGAATACACAGCTTAATAATGTATTGATCTCTTCACTTTAAATAGCGCACCGAGTTACAATTGTTCCAACATCCATTTGCAATTTGTTCAACATGCACTTGTTTCCAATTTTTTATAATAGCACTTCACTTTCTACGTTTATGTAATGTTTTGGTTTAATTGGGTCATATTCCTGGGATCCGTCGAAAAATGCACCAGTTAAGGCCCACTTACAAATATGGGAAAGGGAAGGGGTTAGGATCAGAGTTAGGATTAGAGTTATGGTTAGGTTTAGGGTTGGGATTATGGTTAAGTTTAAAATAAAAAAGAATACAAAATTTAAAAAGTTTAAAAGTAGTAACTCCCCCTACACGTGACAGGTATACATTTACACGATACCATTAGTCATATACGATTGTCATTCTGGCGAATGAAAACGACTACTGGCGCCACTATTCCTGTTCAGTTGACGGTGAAATTTGAAATCTTTAAATACAGCTATTTCAAATTAAGGTTCTCAAGCAAAGCGGAAAAATCGAATACGAGCGCGAAAGGCTGTTGGGAATCGCTAAAAATTTATTAATTTATTAGCGATTCCCAGCAAGCCTTTCGCGCTCGTATTCGACTTTTCCGCTTTGCTCGGGGACAACCTTAATTGAAATAACTGTATAGCATTTATTCGGGGACATACGCCAGGATAAGAATCATATGCGACTATTGTAGTATCTTGTAGCAAAAACCTCAAATAAAAAGAATCAAGCTCATACTCAGAGTAATAATTTTTTTTTGATGTGCCGAACGGAAACTGTACTCTACGTACCATGCATGGGACAACAAAGAGCTGCCTTTTAAGAAGTGGAGTGGAAGGTGGGGGTGTGAGTTAATTGAAAATTCATCAAGATTTTGAATTGTATTATAATTTAGGTCGAGATCTGAAATTTAGCATGGAGAATTCATTGAAGTAGTTGGTTATCCATTATTTCTTGCAATTTAAAAGTGGAGCATGAGTAATCATTTCAAGTTATTTATTATTATTAGCAGGCTTGAGCACAGCGAAGTATTGGAAAAGAAGGGCTATATATACGTAGTAAATAATATCAGTTACCTTTATAGGTATACGAAGGGAGATAGCGAGGCGGGGGGTTGGTGGGAGAGGCGGGTAGGGTGTAACACCCATAAAAATTTATAAAATTCGAGTAAAAAATATTACAAGTCAAAATTTGACATTTCTATGCTGGCAAAATATGTGTAATAAAGTTTGTTTTTTTGTCAATCATAATTAAAATATACTGTTAAATTACTGGAAAGAACCTGCCTGAGTGTGCATGGTCATTTTACAAACATACATGCACGTGCACATTGCTGAAATTTTGTGCAAAAATGTGGTCAATCATGTGGGCGCAATTCCGTTTCAAATTCGCTTCAGAAAACGGCAACAGTAACTATCATAGTTATATAGGCTCCAAAACTGCATAATTATATATATTCAGGGCAATCAGGGGGATGACCGTCAGAGATCCCTCGTTCTGTAACAACTTTGTTTTAAGCCCAGATCAAACGAGGCTGACAGTCCAATGGAAGGCACGCGACCTTAGTTAGCTGTTCATGCTTTCCCAACATGTATAACTGTCGACGCGTGCAAGCGTTTTATTTAACATAATTGGAACTCTCATGCATTTAGCCTTTATTTTGTTTATCTAGAACTTGAAATGTCCCCATAACAATTCGTGACTGCCAACTTTCTTCAACGTTAACTCTCATCTTCTAGTTTGACCGCGGGGGCTTTACAATAGTCATCATTCTACTTTCCTAGCTATAATCATCATTCTACTTTCCTAGCTATACGTTAACTGATGCTGATTGACTCTATTTTACAAAAAATGGACGCTACGCTCATAGCGGCTACGGTGCAGTTCGAAAGTGGCTGAATAAAAATTAATCCAGCGGAATAATGAAATAGATTTTGGCCTAAACTATAGCTAAAACGCTAAGGAAATAACAAGTATTTACCTGCTAGGACCAGTATGGTTGCTAGTAACAACAAATTAGACATCCTCTATATGGAGAAAAAGCAAACGGTGTAAAATACCCTGACATTGTAGAAAGTAAAATGTGGCACTTTATATAGATGTGTTGTCAACCGACAACCATGGATGGAGAAATTAACCCTGATTTATTTTTGTGAATACATTGCACTCACGAGGAACCTCGGCGGCGTAGTCGTTTCCGCATGCGCCTTTCATCTTTGAGTTGGCGGATTTGGTTTTCTCTACGAACTCGTGTGAAAAAAGTCAGTTATCACTCTAGATCTGTCGAAAATTTCGCAATTATTTTTTCACTGGGCTGGATTATCATATTGATCTCATAAATTCCATTTTCAGAACGTTTATTCGCAAATTTAAAATAGAACAGATGGTTGTCGAAACGACAAAACCACTAGGGCTGTTTACACGGGGAATTTTAGCTGCGATTTTAGTTGCGATTTTCCCCTTTTCGAGAACGTGAAGGAGTGGATCGTATAAGTTATAAATGTTCCAGGTTACGAAAACTTGTATAACAACGTCATTAATATATAATTAAATGTAGTCCTTCACATTCTCCAAAAGGAGAAAAACGCAACTACAATCGCAGCAAAAATCGACCGTGTAAACGGGCTTTAAGGACAGTTTACACTTCTAGTGCGATTTTCGTCTTGTGATGCATGTAAACGAGTAGATGAGTTATGAATGTTAGACGTATATATACAGCTATTTCAATTAAGGTTGTCCCAGAGCAAAAATGGAAAAGTCAATAAGAGCGCCAAAGGCTTGCTGGGGAACGCTAAAAAATTCATGAATTGTTTAGCGATTCCCAGCACGCCTTTCGCGCTCGTATATGACTTTTCCGCTCGGGGATAACCTTAATCGAAATAGCATCGATTATTCTGAACATTCGTAGCACATCTACTCGTTCACATCTATCAGAAGAGGAAAATCGCAGCGAAAATTGCAAGTATAGGAGACTACTGCATGTCGTAAAAGTCTCTTTCCCGACAACCTGTCTCGTATTACATTTCGAATTCAATTTTTCTAATATAAATATCTCGGCGAGTATTTACCGCCCCCCCCCCCTTTTAAATAAATGCCACCATTGAAATCCTCACAATATAACCTTTCGAACGGGGGGTCAAGTGCCGTCAAAACATTACACAAACCGAAACAATCATATATTTTATACTCACTGCTTCGCCAAACATTCAAAGGAGAAAATGAGAAAAAGTTGAATATATTGTAAACTTTGGTGTCATTTCCTGAAAGGATATGTGTAAAATACTCTTTGTATTCAAGCGCTTTCGCAGACCTCTCAACTTTGCAGAGAAGTTAAGAGTGAGATTGAAAAAAATTTTTCCGGAAAGATTATTTCGGCGACCTTCCCCCCCCCCCGTCGCCAAAAAATTTTCGAAAACACAAAATTTTCGAAAAATCACAAAATTTGCCAAAAAATTGACTTATTTTTAGACAAAATTTACAGAATTTGTCACATTTTTTTTTATTGCAACCCAAAATTGCCCGACTGTTGATCGAATATTACCCGATTGCCCAAAAAAATTTTTATGCGTTAGATTTACTAAACGTGGCGTGAGAGAGAGCGTGAGACTGAAGCGAATTGCGTGAGACTCACGCCGAATGCGTGAGAATTGAGAGGTCTGGCGTGAGAGCGTGAGACTGAAGCGAATTGCGTGAGACTCACGCCGAATGCGTGAGAGTTGAGAGGTCTGCTTTCGTGTAGAAAGTTTCGTATGTATACGCCGACTAGAAATATTTATTTTGAATTTTTAAAGTATCGGGTTTTACTCGCACGCGCTTGTATTACGTAATACTTGGCCAATAAGGAGCTCCCTTTAGCCGGGATGACGTAAAACTCACGCGTATGGGTGCACTTTGACCTGTAGAATCATTTCTGGCATTTCCAGAGTCACGCGATGCAAGCGTAGCATTGTTTTGACGGTTTTTCGTCGTATTTCCGGTTGGGATTAACGCATAGTCGGAGCAGAAATACAAAATTCGGCACTAAATGTCGAATTTTAAAGATAGAAGCTTGAAAATAACACTATACGTGTTATTTTCAACTTCTGAATCCACCAAGACGATCAGAATGAGCATACGTCTCAATGGAACGAAGTTATATTCGGCGAAAGGTATGTTTATGTTTATAATTTGTCAGTAATATTGCGTAATTTGACCATATACGAGCTCGTTTGACTTTCAAAGCTCATAAATCGCTATAATGTTGCCATTCACTAAATCTATCGATAGGAATGAGTAGCTATCGTTACACTGAATCGAATGGTGGTATTTTGGTCCACGTAGCATTTACCGAACTGAAGATATGAACAGTGGCGACGCCAGGCTTCCAAATTTGGGGGGGCATTTGAGGGGCAAACTGAAATTTGGGGGGGGCAAGATAGAATTTTTAAAAAGGTCGCCCCACAGGAAATTCGCCCCCCCCCCTCAAAACGTGGCGATATTCCTAGTAATATTGCCCCCGGGGGCGAATATCCTAGGAATATCGCCTCCCAGGGGGTGGGGCGAATACCCTAGGAATATCGCCCCTTTTTAGGACATTCGCCCCCCATATATGCGATGTGGTTTATTCAAATAATTTCGTGATACTTTCATCTTATTATTGCCTTACACGCTTGAGAATTTAACTCTGCAAAACTAAAGCTTTTTTGTCTTTTTTTGAAACGTATTATTGGAGTATTGGCAAGTTTTACCATTCAGAGATTTACAAACTAATATTGAAACTGTAAAAACAGTTTCATGTATACGCGCATTCACTAATGAGTAATGACAACTTATAAGCCATACATTTTCCGATAACGACAAAACGCTTGTGTAGCCTTTAGTCGCTCTTAGTGACTAATAATTTTTTTTGAGGGGGGGGGAAATGGGGGGGGGGGCAAAAAATAATTTTGGGGGCATTTGCCCC